AAGCGCCATATATATGGACAAATTAATAGACCACCAATTAAGATATTTAATCCATATAAAAACGCCACATATTAATAGACCACTAATTAAGATATTTAATTCATATAAAAACGCCACTTATATGGAAAAATTAATAGACCACCAATTAAGACATTTAATCCATATAAAAATGCCACATATAGCGGTAAACGGCAATGTAAGATACGAAAAATTGACAGTTAACGTTTTTCTACTGCAGATATACAGCAGTATTATTATATTCAGACAAGGATAATAACAGGATAAGCGAAACGTGATATTTTTGTTTCTCTTATTTCATCAGAAATCTTCTCGCCAAAGAAGTTTGTTAAGATGCCCAAAGCACTTCTTCATCGTATACGAAAGACAATGTTGACTGTGCTAAGAAAAACGCCACCTAGTTATTCTATGTTAAGTAATGGGAATATCCATTTTATCTTGGTATGAAAGTGTCTTTAGTAGTGTTATATGGTAACATATATTCAATATTCAAACATGCGATACCACAATTCCCGTGCATCTAATATGATGATAACTTCTTTTAATTTATTTTTAGTTGAGATGAACTTCCCAAACAATGAGATGTCAGGTCGATTCCGAAGTGATTACGCCACCTCACGTGCTGGTTTCCTCTTTGACGTCACACAGGTTGAATGTCCGTCAGAACAACTGGTCACCGATGAATCGTATGTGAAACCCAACAATAATTCTGTGGAAGCACGTGAAATGACCCCCCAAAACACAAAAACGACACAAGATACTAAACACGGAACGTACTCTACAGCTAATGAAAACTAATTATGTCTTGTTTATTTCTAGAATTAATCAGAAAATCCAATCAACATGTAATTATTTGATAACAAAGAACGTTTCCTAGGGCGGACCTTGTGATTGGCATGCAAAATTAACTTAAAGATAGTTCCGGTAACAACAGGATTAATTTAAATACAGTTTATTACTTTGTGTAGCCTAACAGTTATCAAATAGCAACAGAACTAAAGACACTGAATCAATATAGTTAACAAGAGACAAGTTTCGCCACATTATTTGAAGCTAGATTTTCATTGTATAAGTTTTGTTACTTAATCTAAATAACATTAGAAAAAGGAGAATGTAAGTTATGCATTATAATATTTCCATTGGGCAATAGATTTTTCATACAAAATAAAATTACACTACTAATAAACTGGTTAGTATAATTAATATATCTTATTTAATTGCTTCCATTTGACCGACACTGCTCATAGATTCGATAAACGTATAGTAATTGTCCTTTAAGAAACCAAACTTCTTAAGTTTTGATACCATAGCAACGTCACACCTACTGGTACAATAACAGCATCACACTCCTTGATGCCATAGCAACATTACACCAACTGATACCATGGCAACGGCTTCTTGATATGGAATTGAAACTGACCTAATGAAAAGGTCAAACGTATTAAAATGTTTTAGATATATCAATAAAAGCCTTACTTCGCATCATCAGTCACGAATTTGTTCATATTTTCTGTTTAGGCATTATGTAGTTTTATTCAGCTTCATAGATTTTATCATCACACAATATTTTCGTTAATTACTCCTGAAAAAATATGTTTATTATTTATTATCATCATCCTCACTATTTTCGAAATATTGGGAAACATAATTTTACAGAAAACTGTATGAAATTGAAAGATTTAAGTGTCAGTATTTATAATAAAATCCTCCACGTTATTGATTTCAAACATGTAAATATTTGCTTAATTCCTTTCCCTAAAGGCGTTGGGTAATATAGACTTTCTATAGGATACATCGACAGTCAACCTTCCTTCAGTGAGCAAGTATCACAGCTGCTCTCAATAGTTGTCAAACTGAACATAAAAGAAAATTGGATTTGAATCGACTAAGAAACAAACGAGAAAGAAATGTAAGCTTTTACCTTCATTCAGTCAGCTGAGATTAAAGTAGAAATAGATCGATATCTGTTGTGAGCAGAAATTTAAGAGGGCGGGAGAAATAAGTTTTCAGAACATTAAACCAAAAGAGGAACTGTGTTTTAACCTCCTGATATTCTTTCCAAATATTTCAGAACATTGAACACGTTGTTTAATAGGACCTAACTCTAAAAGAAGTAAGTTAACATTTTAATTGTGACCAAGAAGTAAGAAAATGGGATGCTAATTTCCGTTGGAAGATAAACTTTTTATAAATTAATCTTTATTCATTAAGTTCTGATTGAAAAGGAGCTTTTTCCTATTACATTTTCGATGTTAAATTTCCAGTTGGTTTCAGTGGTACTGTCTTGTAGTGTAAGCCTACCTACTGTCAGGAATGTGTCATGAAATTTTATACATAAAACAATCCATAGAAATGATATTTTAAAAATTATTGAAAAATGTAGTTCAAAAGTAAACTAAGAATTATTTCAAAAGATAAAAATTGAACAATGTAATTGAAAGTAAGAACTTTGAAATATTTTATCTCCTTAACTAATTAGTGCTGTAGTTATGTTAAAACGGGTTTAATTATAGGTTAGAATTAGGTTTAAACTAATTAAAATGGTGGCAGTGTTGTGTAGTGTTTCATTATAGAATTATCGTATTGCAGATAATCATCCCGCAGTGAAATTGAAATCGCTGTTAACGATAATGGATGTGTAACATTCTTCGTGTGTCTAGATACAAAATGATTTTTTTTCAATAAAGATCTGTGCAGTTATTTGTTTCGTGAGTTCTCGTATTGAATTACGATTGAAATACACATTATTAAAACATTAATTATGAAAGGTAAGCTATGCAGACGTACAAGAGAATACCATCAAGCATACGTTAAGAACGAAAAAGGTATACAATTTCTCACGTAATAAAAAATATGTATAAGTAATCTCAATACATATTCTACAAATAGCGTGCAAGTGTATTGCAAAACAAAATAGCAACCGGTTAAAAAAAATACTGTTTGCTAGCAATACTCCTGCTAGAATATCACCGATTATCATGCCCCTTTGAAAGTCTGAGATATCCTTGCTCATATCAGTCGTCTTGGAAAATATTCATACTATACCTACATCTTCGTATTTATCACCTTAACCTCAAATAATAAATTTAGTTTTCATATGTAAATAGAGAGTTCCGCAAATGTTTGTGAGGGAAAATGAATCTTAATAAAATGATGTCAACTTGCTAAACTCGAATGATTGACCTTCTATGTTTACGTAACAAACGTTATGTCACCTTTAATGATACTGATGTCGCTATTAGTTCAGTACTGGCTGTCTTGATGAGATTTACTCTCAAATCATAACAAGATTTTCTTCGAAAATGTTATTTTCAAGATAAAATAATTTCGCTATAGACGACTGTGCTATTTGCGAGAAATTGTATATTTACATATTGTTAGTGCGAATAGAACAATAAGAGATTTTTTCTTTTGCAGGAATCAATGATTTATTCATAAAAAAAAATATCATTAAAAATTACCACACCGAATATAGTAAAAGAATGTTTTAAAACGTTTTATTTATTGCAAGGCTAAGTGTGGCTCAATGGTTAGCGTGCCAAACTGTTGGTCTTCATTTGCGTTAGAAACATAAATATAAAATAGAGCTCCCCGTATATAAATTAACAAAAGAATCTTGCAAAATATCTAAAACTTTCTTCTTTTCTGAACACCAGCTGTTATAGATCGGTTAGCACTAAAAATGTATGACAAAAAAGGTAGTTGGTAAACAGGATCCGGAAAAATCCTAGCTTTTTACCCCTGAAGAGGCAGTAGGATTCCGAGAAATCCTAGCTTTTTACCTATCAAGGAGCTGTAGGGTTTCACTGGGTTTCTTCGAACTTGATTAAGGGTCATAAATGGAATTTGGTAATTATTAATTAAGTGAGATCGAACTGCGAAGCCCATGTATGTAAACAAACTTCACACTCTGTATAAGCTAAGAAATAAATCAGTAACCATGGTGTGAAAGTGGCAGATGATTATGCTTTGATGGTAAGTTACTTATAAATGTACATATTTACTGGTGAGGTTTCCAAGTAATTGGGGGTCTCGTTGCTAAGCAACAATTATGGTAGTTTTTATATCAGTATATAGTACCAAGGCAATTACGTATAAAATTAAAAACAAACGCACGTCTTGCTCAGTTCCAACAATTTAGTACCAGTACCAAGGGTCGTTAACGACGAATGCTATAATCTTTATTTTATAAGTATGCACTTGAAACACGAACTTTCCTTGATTATGTTTAATTACCAATTTACTAGATCATTCTAGCTATTTTCTTCGTATCCATGGTAATGTGTTCATCTCGCTGACAGCTGCTCTCATTCGTAGTGCCTCACTATTCACCTAAGTGCTAGCTGTGAGCCCACTTTTGGAATAAAAATTACGAACTCGTTAGAACAGATCGCGCAAAATCCATCATCCATTATCTAGCGATTGCATCATGTTGATTATGTGTTAATATGACTCATTCTATATGTAGTAATATAAATAAATATATATGCATTATTTGTTTTATCGATAAACGCCTGAAACATACAGTTTCGAGGAATAATTCAAACAGTTCGTGTTATATTTATCATTAATCAAGCACACAGACAAACGAAATGTAATACCTCCATTGAATAAACCAAACAAGTATTGTTTGTTACACAGTAAATATAACATGAAACAAATTAATAATTATTTCAGAAAGTTCCTGATAGGCAGGTAAAAGTTCTAAAACCTACACTAACAGCAAAATTACATTTCCGGTCCCTTCACATCGTCTTCATTCTACAGATTCTCTTACCGAGATCACACTCAAAACCCAGGGGTTTTATACCCGGAAGGTGTTCGATACTTGACGGCTTGAATAATTTTTATTTTGACAGAATTAATTATTTAAATATAGCTGAAAATAAAAACAGCTCACTTTTCACTAACATGTAATAAGTACTTTTGTACCATATTTTACTGCTGTCAAAATTGTCATTTTTGTTCTCGACACGTGAATAATTAAAGGAATATCACTAGCTTCTGTTAACAGTTAGTTAGTAGTAATTAAGCACAAAGCTACACAATGGACTACCTGTGCTCTGTCCACCACGGGTATCGAAATCTGGTGTCTAGAGTTGTGAGTCCGAAAACATACTACTGTGCCACTACTGTTGGACTAAAATTTAAATATCAAGCATGTTTTAATGCTATAACAATCTGTTAATTAAAAACAAATATTTATTTCATTTATAACATTTTTAATGAGTTATCCAATTCAGGTTAAAACACGGGTAAAAGAAAAAAACATCAGTTATTAACTTTAAAGTTAACTGTATTTCCTCAGTTTTATTTAGATTTTCTTTATTTCATTTAAACAATACTTGATAATATCACTGCTCTTTATTAGGAATACTTGAGAATATCATTGTTTGTCATTAAGAATACTTGATAATATCATTATTTGTTATTAAGAATACTTGATAATATCATTGCTCTTTATTAGAAATACTTGAGAATATCATTGCTCTTTATTAGAAATACTTGAGAATATCATTGTTCGTCATTAAGAATACTTGATAATATCATTATTTGTTATTAAGAATACTTGATAATATTATTGTTCGTTATTAAAAATATTTGATAATATCATTATTTGGTATTAAGAATACTTGTTAATATTATTGTTCGTTATTAAGAGTGTTTGATAATATCATTGCTTGTTATTAAGAATATTTGATACTATCATTGTTTGTTATTATCAAATATTCTTAATATCATTGTTTGTTAATTAAGAGTATTTGATACTATCATTGTTTGTTAGTAAGAGTATTTGATACTATCATTGTTTGTTATTAAGAATATTTGATAATATCATTGTTTGTTATTAAGAATATTTGATAATATCATTGTTTGTTATTAAGAGTATTTGATACTATCATTGTTTGTTATTAAGAATATTTGATACTATCATTGTTTGTTATTAAGAATATTTGATAATATCATTGTTTGTTATTAAAAATATTTGATAATATGATTATTTGGTATTAAGAATACTTGTTAATATTATTGTTCGTTATTAAGAGTGTTTGATAATATCACTGCTTGTTATTAAGAATATTTGATAATATCATTGTTTGTTATTAAGAGTATTTGATACTATCATTGTTTGTTATTAAGAATATTTGATAATATCATTGTTTGTTATTAAAAATATTTGATAATATGATTATTTGGTATTAAGAATACTTGTTAATATTATTATTTGTTATTAAGAATATTTGATACTATCATTGTTTGTTAGTAAGAATATTTGATGATATCATTGTTTGTTATTAAGAATATTTGATAATATCATTGTTTGTTATTAAGAGTATTTGATACTATCATTGTTTGTTATTAAGAATATTTGATACTATCATTGTTTGTTATTAAGAATATTTGATAATATCATTGTTTGTTATTAAGAGTA